CTTTTAAATTCCGCCTTAAACGGCAGTCCCGGTGGTGATCATCTCGCTGAACGACGCGGTGCAGCAGCACAACTGGTGCTTCCCGTTCGTGGTGGACGGGAACCCGGAGCCCCGGATTAGCTGGCTGCGCGACGGCGTTCCCATCGTGGACAACGACTACGTCTTCACCGACGTAGTACTTTATAAAAAAAATGGACTTGAGTCAAAGTTGAAGTGTTCTTTTAACTCCATACTCAACCCTATAATGCCAAATGTATCATATGACAGATACTGTATTTTGGTACTTAAGTACAGTACTTAACCCTTTAAAGCCTGATCCAAGAATAAAACAAAACAGAAAATTACTTTTTTTTGGTTTGAATTCCTTATTTGGCCAATTAACTAAATATCTAAAAAGAAAAAACAGAAATACATTTTTGATATTAATAATTTATTACTATGCGATAAGTCAAGATTATTTTTTGTGTAGTCTTCTGCCCCCTGTGAGTCATTATAACCAAATTCTAACACGCCCTTTTAAATTCCGCCTTAAATGGCAGTCCCGGTGGTCATCATAAAGAGAAACACAGCCAGAGACTTTAACACAACATACAGCTCTATAAGGAATACGACAGTCAGTAATTAGCATAGATCATGTGATAGCATACTACGTCGTCTAGCATAAACAGGCCAGGTCCTAATTCATGCAGATGACAGGAACATGGTGTGTGTTTGTGTTGACCTAAAGGTGGATCTAATGCAACAGAGAAAGAAAAAGAGAAAAAAAAACACAAAATATAGTCATAAAAGGAAATAAAACAATCAGTAATTAGCATAGATCATGTGATAGCATACTATGTTGTCTAGCATAAACAGGCCAGGTCCTAATTCATTCAGGTGATAGGAACATGGTATGTGTGTTTGTGTTGACCTAAAGGTGGATCTAATGCAACAGAGAGAGAAAAAGAGAGAAAAAAAATAAAATCATAAAAGGATTAAAACATTCAGTAATTAGCATAGATCATGTGATAGCATACAATGCTAAAGCGAGTCATTATAACCAATTTCTAACACATCCTTTAAATTCCGCCTTAAACGGCAGTCGCGGTGGTCATCATAAAGAGAAACACAGCCAGAGACTTTAACACAAAA